CTACATCCTAAGCTACTGTTAATAAATATGCCACAGCTTGTCAATGTAGCATTAATAGCTTGATAATGACTAATCTGCTTTGCCATTACAGGGACTGATGAACACGCTCCGCTGCTTATTCAGTGGAGAGTGGCTGATGAAGCCCTTAACTGGAAAGCCTAATGCTGCCATCAAAGGGTTTGAGTAAGTAAACAAGTTATGTAAAATGTGCTTTTATTCAGGTGCTGTTGACACTGAACGTAGTAAATACTAACACTTCAAGCAAAGGTCTTACTGCCTCCTTTTTATGCTTGATTTCTGTCGCTCAAATCAAAAGAAAGTGGGAGAACCTAAAACAAAAATATACAGTAAGATTTTTTTAGTTTACCCCAAAATTTTTATTGGTTCATGATTTGATCATGCTAATATTTTTCCATGTCATAGTAATGCAGTAATCTAATGAATGTAATTGACTGTCTTGATATTGTGCTTTTCAGACCCGGGATATCCAACAAAGATATGGAGGAACTTCCCCTTGTGGTCAGTGATGGGCTGCAGCTGAACCGAGTGGAACAGCTTCCTATTACAATAGCATGGGGCATCACTTGCTGGTGGCTTGATCCGGATGTGGCATCCGTCTATTGCACCAGCTACCATGTGGAAAACTGGAGACCCAGCCAGCTGGGCAAAACCTTCCCCCACTGCCTCCAGGTCATCCGGGGTCGGGAAAGCGACCAGCCTCCATAGAATTGTTACGGGGCTGACGAGACGTGAGACTTGCGGATCCATTCGCAGAGCTTTTATTGGAGAAGACAGAGACGTGGTCATACAGCAGGCAGGGGTACAGATCCATCTTCAAAATACAAACGAAGCATTGGCACAGCAGCATTCAGGCGGTAGTAGGTTGTAGGGCTCACAGTCTGTAAATGTGTGTATATATATTTTTTAGAATATGTATATTATTTATTATGTTTATATTACTTGTTATTTATGTATATATATTATATCTATCTATAATATTTATTTAGGCTATGTATATATTGTATGTATTCATTCTCTCCCTCTCTCTATTTATTCAATTGTGTATTATGTATTCATTCAAGTTTATTCATTGATTCATGTCTTTTGTTTGTCCTGTGTATTTTTATGCATTTATTTATAACAATAAATTACTTTATTTCGTTGCTCCAAATGAGCCTCTGTCATGGTGTTCACTGACATGACTTTTTATTCTGAGGTAAGATTTGCCAGCTAAATAGGTGATTGTACTTCCCTTATTTGATAAATGATTTAATAATAATAATTAATAATAGGTGTGATCTTTTATTTATTAGAGCTCTTTTATCCAAAGCGACTTACAAATGAGGACAACAGAAGCAATCAATTGTAGAATTAAAACAACTAAAAACAGATTCAAAACTAAAACTTCATAAATACTACCTATACACATTTTAAAAATGACGAAATTAAATGACAAATGCATACAATTTCATAAAGCTAAAAACAATTCAAAATAGTAAAGAACAAAAGGTATAAGAGTATAATAATGATTCTAACATCACACGAAGCCAAACACCCCCAAAAAAACTACACGTGTATGTACAACCACACACGCATACACACATATATATATATATATATATATATACACACACTTATAAATTCAATATTATTTCATTTGCATTTAGTTTGTTGAAGTATTAAAATAACTCCAATTAAATAAAACTTAAAAGACCTATACAGACATATTAAATTCAGACATAATTTAACAAATTAAAATTAGTAACAAATACAAATCAAATGACAGTTATGTATTGATTATGTATTGATGTGCAAACTGCGAAGTGAAATAAATACATAAACAGACTCACAGTGTACAGCGATATTAACAGGATGATATTTCTCTCCAGATTCAGACTGACACCAGTACACTCCAGTGTCTGATGTGATGGAGTTGATTGTACATGTAGATCCTGTTTGTGATCCCCACACTGATGATGAACAATCTTCTAGCAGCCCCCAACTCTCTGTGTATCTTCTCACTCTCCATCTATCAGAGTTACTCTGGTCCTCACAGCTCAGAGAGAGAGAGACAGATGGGAAGTGTTGAGTTCTGCTGGGACTGATGATCAGATAGACTCGAGGAGAAACACCTGAGAAGACAATTAGAGCTCTTTGGAAATGTTTTAAAATAATTTAAGCATGAAATCTCACTTTTTAAATGGGTTAAACATTTTTGATAGGCCTGTTTAATTGTTTTCCTTTAGGTTCACTGATAAAAATAATATTAATGATAATATGAGTAACATATCTGTTACTCATATTACCAAAAAGTAATATAATATGAGTAACATATGTGTTACCCTTACCAAAAAGTAGTGTACTTCAAGTTTATTTTAATTAAGTATACTTAAGTAAAGTTCAAGTATATTTTAAGTATACTTTATGTAGTAAGCATACAAATATCAGTGTACTAGTAGTATACTTGTAAGTGTACTATTTCAATACTCCTTGGGACTAAATTGGCCCACTTTCTAGTATATAAAAGTATAATTTTAAGTATACTTTAAGTATAACAGTAATAAACTTTGAGTACACAGTTTACATCAAAATGTTTAGTTTGTACTGCAACTATACTAAAAGTGAACTTATAGGTAAACTGATAGTTTACTAATTAAATACTTGTAGTAGCATTTTTAGTACACTTTGAAGTATAGTCTCAGTAAACTACTAGTTTAATACTGCAAGTATACTCGTAAGTTCTTTAAGTGAACTTTACATCATACTTTAAGTATACTACTATGTCCCTATTTAGGTATTAATTTGTATATATTTTGTTACATGAATATCTGAACATACAAAACATCAAAAGAAAGAACAGGGTATCTGCTTGTAAACAAAAACATTTAATTCTAGCTTCATGCATTCTTTTTAAAATGCATGATATCACATTTATAAATTATGTTTGTTGGGGTAACTCAGTGTATTCAGATTAACTGAAACAGGGCCAGATCAAAGCTCATGGGAGTTAAGGGTCACCAGTACATGCACATAAAACCAATTAAATGAGTTGCTACCACATCAGAATCAGAATGAGCTTTATTGCCAGGTATGTTTACACATACGAGGAATTTGTTTTCGTGACAGAAGCTTCCACAGTGCAACAGAATGACAGTGACAGAACAAAAAACACATAATAATAATAATAAAAAAAAAATAGAACAAGTAAAATAAGGAATAAAAAAATATATATATACAAATCGACAATTGTATGTACAGGTATATTATGTGCAAATTGAAATGTAGACTGAGTATGTGTGTTAGATAAATAAGTGTATGAGTGAATAAATAGTGTGTGTTCCACAGTTATTGTCAGGTGTTCATGAGATGGATGGCCTGAGGGAAGAAACTGTTCCTGTGTCTGGCCGTTCTGGTGCTCAGAGCTCTGTAGTGTCGACCAGATGGCAACAGTTCAAAGAGGGAGTGTGCTGGATGTGAGGGGTCCATAGTGATTCTGCCAGCCCTTTTGCTCATTCTGGATGAGTACAGTTCTTGGAGAAGGGAGGGTTGAAAGCACATTAAGCACTCATGAAGCACATTATATCTTACCTGATGAAGCAGTTAGAGCGTACCAGCTGAATGTCCAGCCTGTAGAGGAGCCGTAAACCTCACAGATCAGAGTCACTGGATCTTCTTCAGTCAACCACTTCTGTGGAGAAACACTTAAAACTGCCTTGGCTCTATCTGAAATAGAGAAATCACTCATTAATAACATGTAAAGAGTGTGTGTATGAAGAGATGATCAAACTCACCTGATACCGTCAGTGTAACTGCATCACTGTTTTGTGAGCTGCGTGATCCTCCTCTCTCTGCTCCATAACAGAAGTATTTACCTGCGTCAGACTCAGTAACAGACCTGAATGTGTGTTCCTGTAGTTCACTGAAAACACTGTTTGAACCGTCTTTATACCAGCTGTACTGCCAGCTAGTGACTCCTTCACCATCAATGTCACATCGGAGAGTGACTGTCTCTCCTCTG